TGGCGCTCAGGGCATGCTTGAGCTCCAGGGCGAAGGCGGTGAGGGGCACGTCCTCCGACACGGGCATGATGGCCACCGTGGACAGGTTGCTGGCCGGGTTCCCCGAGTCCCACTTGCTGCCGGTGGAGTGCAGCCCGAACTGGTGACCTGGAAGCGCGGGGTCGTGGGTCGGCCGGAGGGGTGGGCACCCCTGACTCTCTCCAGGTGTCACCAGTTGTTTCTGGAGAACATGCTGGTGCCAGCAGCCTGGGACGAGCCGGGCACCGGGACTCCTCCACCCTGCCCTCCACACTGCCTTCCCACTGGGACGCCAGGCCACTGCACCCACATCTCACACCAGGGCTCGGCCCACAGGAGGGGAGCAGAGACGAATGCAAGAACCTTGGGGTCCCCTTCCTCCCATCCTTCCCAGTGACCTCTGACGTCAGAGTCCTCCGAGGGAGGGAGGAACAGGGGCCTGCTAGCTCTGTGCAGCCGTGCTGCCTTTAAGGCACGTGGGAGGGTCTGGTCCTGGCCACGGGGGAGGGGCGGGCAATCCCACACTCACCAGGCACAGCCCTCAGAAGGGCACGGGGAGACCACCCTCCTGAGGCCAGTCAGCAGTGACCCTGCCCCTGCCAGCTGCAGGCAGGTGGGCTCCATCCCGCCCCTCCCCCCTGGGTGCTGCCTCCAGGGAGATTCTCTCGGGGTCCCCAGCACTAAGCAGACACCCACATTGAGTGTGAGGTGGACCCCAACTCTCTATGCCCTGAGCCAGCAGAGGCGGCACCCCCACTGAGGGGAGGTCAGACAGGGTGGAGAAGGGAGTCTCCAGGTCTGGGAGGCAGCCCTGCCCACTGCGGGGGAGCTGGGCAGAGGGGTCTGAGGGCCCGGTGCAGGGGGGGCGTCGGGAGGCCGAGCGCCCGCGGGGACTCACTGGTAGCAGGCCCCTGCTGCAGGCTGCCCAGGATCTTCTCCCCCAGCAGGTGGATCAGCCGGGTCACAACCTGAAGGAGAGCAGACCCCAAACCACACCTTTCAGCCAACAGGCCACGTCCCTGGGTCCGTGTCTCCCAAGGTGCCAGGCTGGACGCGCCAGGCCACGGGTGATGGGCGTGACGAGAGCTCATGCCACCGCTCGGTCCCTCTACCCAGCGTCTCCCTGTGTTCGTGCCCGCCCGTCAGTCACTCCGGGGCGGCTGCTCCTGGGTCCCCCGGGGGAAGCCCTGGGCGGGGCTGGCAGGGGCTGCCACACGGACCAGCAGCCTCCGCGCTGCAATCCCCTGCGGGGCAGAGCATCCTGGCTGACCTGATCTTTTAAGAACTCTGCGACGCACACACGTGTACATGTGTGTATTTACTCCTCACCCACAGGCATTCTCTCCACTGATTGTTAGGGAGAGAGAGGGAAAGACAGACAGAAACATCGACGTGAGAGAAACACGTCAACGGGTTGCCTCCTGCACGCACCCCGACCAGGGCCCAGGCCAGGGAGGAGCCTGCAGAAGCAAGGTGGGTGCCCTTGACTGGAATCAAACCCGGGACCCTGCAGGCCACAGGCTGACGTTCTAGCCACTGAACCACCCTGGCTGGGGCAGATGCCACGATTTAGCGGGGCTGCTCCACTCCCATCTCCCTGGCGGGAAGGACGGAAACCCCGATCCAACCCATACGACCTGCCAATCTCTCTTCTAAACACCCAGCTGCCGCTACAGTTTTCTAGTAAAAAAGGCACATTATCTGCAAACATCATTTTACCCCTTTTCCAAACGCGCCCGCAATCTCAGCTGTTTAACTGTTCAGCTGGCGCTGTCCGGAAGCCGCAGCCTCCCCGGTGTAAAAGGTTCCCTTCAGGGTGCATGTCAGGATCAGCTGGACCTGTTCGGACACCTGCCCCTGGCTGCCCGCTCAGGCGCAGACCCTCACCTGAGGGTACCTGCGCTTGATGGACGTCAGGGCTCCTGCCGGCAGCTTGGCGAGCTCCGAGTCCCGGACCGCGTGCACTGTGGTCGCTCGGGGCTGGCGGGTGAGGGTCTCCACCTGAGAGAAAGGAGCTGGGTGCCGGCTGCACTGCTCACACCTGCTGCCCGGCGCTCAGGATAGAGGGCAGAGCGCGTGGCGGCGCTTCCTGCACGTGGGAGCCGGTGAGGACGGGAGGAAAGGCGCTCACCAGCCGCGCCGGGGAGGGCAGGGCGCCTGAGCCAGGCCGCTGTTGGCACCAGGAAAAGGCCAGGCGGCTGCCCCCAAAGGTCTGGAGATTCCACCTTTGACCCTGGGATTCCACCTGTGCCACCGCCCGGCTGGGAGTGGGCACACCCACCCCCGAAAATGGAAAACCACAGGGCACACGCCCTTCTGATGCCACAGTGAGGGTTCCTCCCCCACCCAGGGCAGCACCCAGAGGGACTGCACCCTGGCCCTACTGCGCCCGGCCCTACCACACCGATGAGGTCTCCGCGGCCATACTCCCCCGCCAGGCGCTTCTTGAGGTCGTCCTTGCGGATCACAGAGCGCAGCCGGCCGCTGAGCACGATGTAGGTGCAGTCTGACTTGTCCCCCTGCCTGCAGGGACGGGGCGCTGGGAGTGGGCAGGGCACTGGCCAGGAGCCCGCGCACCCCACACAGCAAAGGAAAGAGCCTTCTCACTGGGTCCTTTCGTTTGGGAAAATACATTTGTTTTCCGTGAAAGACTACGTGCGCCAGCACGTGACAGGTCTACGGTGACCCTTCAGCCAGTCAGTGTCCTAAGCGTCCTTGGTTCTGATTGACAGCTGACGAGACGTGGGCGCTGTGACCCAGTCTGCACTCAGCCCTCCCTCTGCCGGGACGCCGGGCCCAGCAGCACCTGCACACGCTGCGCTGCCTGCCCCGCGGGCTGTGC